TCTTTATATTTTGACACTCCTTAATCAAAATTCTGAATCTGCCACTGATTTGATGTCTTCACAGTTCACATACATACAACTTCTACACTGAAAATATATATATACACATACAATTAAAACATATATTGTAATTCACGCGATTTTAATTAGATTAGATATTGTAGTCATTTAAAATTTATTAAATATAAATTTATAAAATGATTTGGATTATATTAAATTTAGGAATATATTAGTCCAAATAAATATTATGGATTAATATAATTGAGTTAATTATTTAAATCTAATAAATATAGATTTAATTAAAGCTCGCTCCATAAACCCCATATGGCATGTCACTTAAATTTGATTGGTCAAAGAGAGTCATCTTCCAATCACAACTCCTCTATTTTAAAACTATAAATAGGGGTCCTCATAATTCAGAAAAGAGAACGAAGAATTCTAAACAAAAAGCTAGAGAAAGTTTGTGGATCAAAAGCCACAAATTTCTCTACAAGCTATAAGTTTAAGAATTTTCAAGAACTCAAGAGTTCAAGAATTCAAGAACTCGAGAGTTCAAGAATTCAAGTGTTCAAGTTTAAGAATTGAAGATTTGAAGAAGTCAGTATCAAGATAAAGTTCAAGTTCAAGAACAATCAAGATCAAGATCAAGCTCGAAGCCCTTGGATTCAACTAGAAGTCAAGATAAAGTTCAAGAAAAATTAAGTTCAAGATAAAGTTAAAGTCCAAGTTCATCAAAGATTCAAGAACAAGCTCCAAAAGCCCTTGAATTTATATTCGAAAAGGCGAATTTAGAGGAATCATAGAGATTGTAACACTCACACTTTGAAATAATAAAACGATTGTTGTGATAATTTTTTCGTTCTTGATTATTGTTTTCTCGACGCAAATTTTACTGTCTACATATATATATATACCGTGTATTTTGCAACATTTCTTTATATATATATACCGTGTATTTTGCAACATTTTAAAAGAAAAAGAATGCTATGTTTTTTGAAGAAAAAAATCTCGCTATATATTGAAAAACAGGCATGAATAGTGCTATTTATGATTATTTTTTCCTAATAAAGGCATGTTAAGGAATACTTTTATTAAAATAATGGACCTTAAACAAATTTGATTCAAATTAATTGACGACCAATATAAATATATCAAATATCGAATAAAAAAACATACTATAATCAAATAACCCTATACTCTTTCTTATTACTTCTTGGCCTTTCATTTTATTATGAATAATTTATGGCAAAAGTGTCTTCCTTATCCAACCCCAACCCCCAACTCCCTAGTAGGTAGACTGGTATCTTTCAATGTCAAATTAAACCTTAAGCCCACATTTCACAATGAGTGGGGTTAAAATTTATTTGTATCGAGTATTTAAATTCTACTTTAAAGTATAATCTTCGTTGGATATGTGAGGAGGAAGCGTATGAATATGTCAGTAAAAAGTAAGTGTGAGAGATTGGTTGTAGCACGAGTTAGAAGAGATATATGATTAGACATATATAGCAACTTTAACTTATTCATAAGGACACGGCCTTATGTAGGAGAGTTTGAAGGTCGAAAATTAAAATAAAAGGTTAGTCGGTAGTCAAGTCTTGTCGCACTTTACGACGTAGCCAGTAGAAGTAGGGGACTAGCTTCCTCCTCGCCTCTTCTCCTTATTAGTAGTCGTGTCGTCTCTTATTATTCAATGTATATATTATTATTGTATTTATTTTGTATCTTACTATTCAGCGTTGTCATATTGTTCTTATAATTCTACTTTGAAAATATACTTTTTAAGTTGTTCTACCTCACAAAAATAAAGTAAAAATTTACATATATCCTATTTTCTTCAGCTATTATCTTCAGATCTTTTTCATAAAGACTACACAAAGTATATTGTTATTTAAAGCCACTACTTTTTGACAAATGAAATTGTGCTACAAAACATTAATTTTCTAGTAAATGGCCGTCACAATTAATGATTGAAATATAAGCACCATATATGAAATGGCATTAATTAGAATATTTAATAATATAGTTGAACTTTGTCCCTCCACATATTGGCTCTAATTAAATTCAAGAAATGAATCAATCAGATTTGTGGTGGAATAGTAAGTATTTCTTTATTCTTAGTTAAATGTATCAAATTTGAATGCTCTTAAGTACAAAGTCATCTTTGTTAGAGAGCAATTTACCTCTCAATATGAGATTTTTTAACGCAAATCAAGATTTTTTCAAACTTTAAAATAAGTACCTGACACCGAATAAAAAACCAAACATGAAAATAAATTCAATAAATGGAAGTTCTTTATCTTCAATATACAACCATGTGCCATTGGAAAAGAGGTCACATCCTAAAGGTCCCCTTCTATTATATTTTGTCTTTTGTAATTCATTGTTTTCCTTCTTCTCATTTTTATTTATAGCTTGTTTAGTTAAGCTTCTTTAAAAAAAAAATGCTTATATAAAAGACTTAAAGTGTTTAGTCAAATTATTAATTAAAAAATAATATGTTTTTTATTTTTGAGTCGTTGTAAAAATTATTTTTTAGAAATTGAAAAATTATGTAGCCGAATGAATGAGATCTCTTCCTTCTTTTAATTAAAAGTTTTGAGTTTAAGTCTTACAAATAAATTTTTTTAATAAAAAAATGTGACACGAATCCAGTTATGCAAGATTCAAGTATCATCAAACTGTATTTCTATAAATTTTCTCTTTTTTTCCACCTATTGATTTAGGGGATCACTTTTACAAACAAATAAATAATAATAAATGAAAATTAATTAGGAAAAATGTTGATGTTTCAAAAGTCAAACCAGCCATTGACTAATATAAAAAAAAAAAACTGTGGTAGTATGTGACACTAATTAAAGAGGAAATAATTTGGTTGTTCCAAAATTAGTAAGGACAACCTTAAATTTAGATGAGAAGTTGGTTGAAATATTAGTTAACATGAAGAATAATGCTAATTAAAAATCATTAACTCAATAATCCAATAGACATTTCTTTAGTTCGATTTACTTTGAGGCAAAATTTTAATATTTATGCAGTGATAATGTAAAATATTTACACAATCATGTTACTTATTAGATAATTATAAATAAATGTTTTCAAGTAAAAATGTAATAAAAAAGGTGACTAACGTACTATAATGAACTAAAAAGAACGGCTTTTACAAAACTTCTTTCCAATATTGATGTATATAACTTAAATCTTGATTTTTAATATGTGGAGTTTTAATTATGTTTTAATAACTCATTAAAATAATAATATTTTTTCAACTAACTTTTCAAGCTGTTTAATGTTCAATCATTTTCATAAACTGTTAACTCAACTAATTATTAAATGTTAAAGTTAATAATTAATTGTAAAGTAGAAAGGATAATGATGGAGTTGTCATGACTTTTTTATAGTAGAAAAATCAAATAATAATTGATAAGTTAGCAGGACCTTAATTTTTCCTTAGATTTTTCTACAAAAGTATTTATGATTTTATTATAGAAAGTTGAAGATCTCACGTATATACATAAAATAAAATTAAGTTGAATCATAGTATAATTAATATGGTTGCTAAAGTAGGTGGAGACATTACATGGTACATAAAAGATCTATTTTTCAATTGATACCTAGTATAAACCGATAATCATAACTAATTACCGACAGACGGTTATGATAAAGTGGTAAGTACTCTTTTATCTTTAACCAAGAGATCTCGGGTTTGAGTCCCCTTGGATACAGAGTCTCTTTTGTTAGAGAGTGTTTTACCCCCAATGTGGGATTTTCCTGCGTGAATTCAAATTTAATCGGGCTCCAATATGGATACACCAACAAAAATCATAAATAATTAATATGATTTTTTCCCTATTTTATTTTTTTTGGGTGGGGGGTAAAAATTAAAGACGCATAAGGTAAGGGGAAAGACCAAATAAAAAAAATAAGAATATTTCATAAGTTTGACGGAGTTGGATTTCTCAGATAGTCACTTAATTAATAATTATCATCTCATAAAGTTTTTTATTATTATTATTGAAAAGAAAATTAAAATCAAGAAGAAGGATGACTCTTTAAGATGATAATTATCAGTTGAATAATCATTTGAAAAGTTAATCAAAACATAACATTATGATTGTTTTGTCATCTTTTAATAATGGGAAAATTTCAACCAAATACCATTCAACGATCTAGTTTTTCAAATATGTATACAATGTATACATAATGCATATTTCATATTAGATATACATATTATATAAATACATATACACAATATATACATATCATGTACAACCAAAGTGTATAAATATATATACTTTAGCCATGCTACTAAACTAGATGACTGAAGAATACATTTATGTAAAGTTTCCATTTAATAAATTTTGTAATATTTTAAAGATATTTTTGACCATTTTTCGCAATTAAAACTATATAGGCAATTGTCAATTAGTATGACATCCTTGAGAAGAAATTGAAGGCCAGTTGTACTGATAATGAAAGCCCTATAAATGTAGTAATATATTAGATTTAAACCACTATACTTCTTACAATTGTCACATATCTAACTTTATTTATCTCTATAGATCTCTTTTCTTATTTATTTTTACCTAAAAAACATGTGCAACCCATGTAACTAAAAAAATCTCTTCCAAAATGACTTCATCCCCTATTCCATCTTACCTCGAAATTCACTGGTTCAACTAATTCAGATTCGTAATGACGTTTCCTATTAAGAACAGATACATATTCAGAATTTAAAGTTTATGAATTTCCATAACGATCTCAAGTTAAGAAACAATTTTTTTAGTTTTTATGAATGTGTATATTATAATCTAGATACTTATCTGACAAAATAGCATAATTGAAGTTCTCCATTTCTAGGGTTCGAATCAAAACACTCTTGTTAATTAATTAAGGTGAAGCTAAGGGGTCCAAACTATATGACCACATGCACACATAGGTGGTCCCTTTCACCATACTCGATTTTAGTATAAATATACAACTCATAGCTACAAAAACAAAACACACCATACAAAAGAAAACACAAACTTGTATCACTATATTCAATATTTCAATATGGGAACCCTATACCAACCCCTTGAATCACCAATCCAAGACCTAAAAGTCACAATCCATAACACTAGCTTAGTGTTCCCATCTCAAGAAACTCCAAAAAAACCTATGTTCTTACCAAATATTGATCAAGTACTCAATTTTGATGTCCAAACACTACATTTTTTCAATGCAAATCCTGAATTTCCACCAGAAATTGTGACGGAAAGACTCCGAATCGCGTTATCTAGAGTCCTTGTCCATTATGATTTTTTGGCTGGGAGACTTAGGATGAATCAAGAATCAAAAAGATTGGAATTTGATTGTAATAGTGATGCTGGGGCTGTATTTATGGTTGCTTCAAGTGAATTAACATTAAATGAGATTGGTGATTTAGTTTACCCTAATCCTGGTTTTAGACAACTAATTGTTCATGAGAACATTGATATTTTGGAAAAAGATGATAAACCACTTTGCATTCTCCAGGTATATATTCATGATACTCATCATTTGATTACTAGTACATTTATAAATTTGATCTCTCGTCTTCATATTATCTGTCTCTTAAGATTTTTATACGCTTCTTTAAAAAGATATTTAATAGTTGGGACTCTGGATCGATGTAGGTTTTGAACGATAGATTCAACTGAATCATGTATTATATGTTTGACACGAAACATGCACACACGTATACATGTTAATATGGAAAAGTATTACAAATTCTAGATCTGCCTCTGGTTATAAAAGTATTCTAAACTACATATTTTATCTCTTCTTTAAGGGTTTCCCTAGCTAGTTGGTGTAATGAATGTAGATTTGAAGGGGGGGTAAGAATTCTATCGAAGCCTTTTAACTATGGGTTAATCTGAACTCAGAATTTTAGACACAATATATTTGCCCTTTTGTAGTCATTAATTAATTCCTTTCGACTTTACACTAAATGTCCAACTATTCAATGAAATTCATATAGCCAACCGACTGAGCTACTAAGATTCCCCGTAATGTCAATGTTTTGTGCTACCTCCCATCAAGAAAAATAAATGATGACCTTTCACTTCATTTATCGAAATAATAATAGGACCAATCGTTTCCAACAACTACACTATGTGAAAAATTGTCTTTTTTTTGGGATCCGGCATTCGATACTCATGTTTGAAGCATAACTAAATTTGATTCATATTGAGAAATTCTATTTTTTCTAGAGATAATATTATCTTTACCAAATACGATTAGTTCATTTTTAGTGCTCAAACCTGAGAACTTTAATTTTTTTAAAATACCTATTTAATAGGTGATTGCTAGTCTTTAGCTTAAGTTTAAACACTAGTTAGAAAGTAAAAGTGCACAAAATTGTCACTTATTAATACTACTACTATAAATAAATAATATATAATATATAATATATACTATTTAGCTATTTTACTTTTTTCATAGGACATATAGAAGGGTCATATGTACCTTTCAAATAATTAAGTATTCACCTACTACCCAGCTGTGCTTTATGCAAAAGTTAATAAACACAAATATTAATGACAGACATGCATAAATCTAAAATTTATATAGTGAGTTCAGAATGAATTTAATTGAATTCGCCCTAATTTTACCTCTATTTATTGCAAAAAAATTACTTTATATTATCTTTATATTTTAACTTGTTGTAAGTTCTCATATGTAACTTTTTTTATTTTATACATTGTTGATTCATTCTTTTATGGACAGTTACTTAGAATTATCTTTTAGGGAATTTGATAAATCAAAGCTATAACCACTTAATTGTTTACTTTTTTTAGGTGACATCATTTAAGTGTGGTGGTTTTGTAATGGGCTTTTCAACCAATCACATAACCTTTGATGGAATAAGCTTCAAGACTTTCTTACAAAACTTAGCTTCTCAAGCATTTGATGATGACAACAATAATCCTAAACCCTTAGCCATTGTCCCATGCAATGATCGTACCCTCCTAGCCGCTCGTACGCCTCCACGTGTCACGTTCCCACACGTCGAATTACTCAAATTGGATGTCCCCATTGGTGAAGAACTAAATGCTAAAGTATTTGAAACCCTACAAGAAGAACTTGACTTCAAAATATTTAAGCTCAATTCAAGTGACATTAATTCCATGAAGGAAAAGGCAAAAGACGAAAATACCCCTAACTCGAAAATCACGAGTTTTAATGTGGTAACTTCTTATGTATGGAGGTGTAAGGCGTTGTCGTACGATGATGAGAACAATTCAGAACGAATCTCAACTGTTTTATTCGCAATTGATATTAGACCTAGGTTAAATCCACCGTTGCCACAATCTTACGCTGGCAACGCTGTGCTGACGTCTTACGCGTCATCCACATGTCACGAACTAGAAGAAGGGCCTTTTAGTAAAATTGTGGATTTGGTGTCACAAGGGAGTAAGAGAATGAATGATGAATATGCAAGAAGTGCAATTGATTGGGGTGAAATTAATAAAGGATTTCCAAATGGGGAATTTTTGCTTTCATCATGGTGGAAATTAGGGTTTTCACAAGTTGAATACCCTTGGGGGAAACCAAAATATAGTTGTCCTGTGGTTTGTCATAGAAAAGAAATTATATTGTTGTTCCCAAATATTGATGATGGTATAAACAACAACAATGATGGGGTTAATATATTTGTGGCTCTTCCTCCTAAGCAAATGAAGAAATTTGAGTCTTATTTTAACAAGTTCTTGTTGGATTGAGATACATATATATGTATACCTTCTTCTTTTTTTGGTGTGATTTTTTAACAAGCATTTTATATATATATATGTTGTAACTTGTAATCATGATGATGTGAGTGTTGAATTTCAATTATCTTGTATGGTGATGTTAAAAGTGTAATAAATGATTATATTTGTATATCTTTTTGGATCGAATAAGCTTTTGTGAAAGACAGTGGAATGAATGTTAATGTAGCAAACATAAAAATCATATTCGTATGTTATATCTATAGTTTGTATACCGAATGGATCTATTTGTATATTCGGTATACAAATGAGTCCTGCAATTAGTTTTATTTGTATATTCGGTATACAAATGGATCCTGCAATTAATTTTTATACAACACATATGTATACCGAATGGGTCTATTTATATATTTTGGTACACAAATGGGATGACAGAAAACATGGAATGTTTGCAGCGAATTACAAATAAAAGAAACTATGACTATAGCATTTAATTTAAATTAATAATTTGCTATTTCATACAATTTTCCCATAAAAATTTAAGTGACTATATATGAAATGAAGTGATTATTCTTAATTTCTATTTTTCTATTTCTTTCATTTTCTCCCTTGGGTATTAATTACCAACTGGCAAGGCATGATCCAATATTTAATTTGTTTGAAAACTACCAAGGTGCTAATAACACCATGTAACAAAACCATTGATTTATAAAGGTTGAATACAAGATATATAAAATTAAAGAAAGATTATTCTTTATTTTCATTAATGTTGTTCTAAACATGTATATATATATATATATAGTCATCACCAATTCTTTGTAGAATAGTTGATATTACATGATATGATGACTACTAAAGACTTTATTGTTATTTTTGGATATATGTATGTTGTTCCTGGCTTCTAGAAAATATCGATAGATGTATGTAGAATAATTCTCTAAAAGAGACATATTTTTTAAGGGAATTTGACACGAACAACAACATTTCTTAAGATTACAAGCAACATAAACAAAATTATATTCGACGACCACCAGTACCATTTTCTCTTTGACAATTGAAATAAACCGCAGCTACCGGCAATCCAAAATTATAGACCTTTGCAAACTCCCTTGTATCGAAATTTTGGCGATTTTCGGGAGCATGGACAATTTCTCGACGCAATTGACGAAATAAAACTAAAACAAGTCGATGTATTCCCATTGTAGGTCTTGGGCACTCATAAGATACAACTTCATTGCCTATATAACACAAAATAAACAATCAAATATATAAAAGATACAAGAAATTTTAGATCGCAATTTAAATATTTCTATTAAGCAAATTGAAAATTTTATGAAAAAACATTAGAATACGATACTCTAAATTTTGTGTCAAACAGAAATATATTAAATCTTATTATTAGTATGAAGGAAAGACTTACCAAAGGTTACTCCTGTGCTTGCTGGGATATCATTGACCAACCTAACAAAGTTACTCAAGAACATGTAATTGTGTAATTTGAAAAATAATAATATATACATAATTTCATAGAATTGAAATGAGAAGTAAAATATTGAAGTTGAAAAATAAAATCCAATATATTTGCAAAAGAGAATTAATAATCAGGCAGTATGGTAATTATGAGTTTGATAAAACTCGATAATTTTGATTTAGATCATGTATTTGTATTTTTTAAAATTTTCATTCAATAGTACAAATAATTAATTTGGAATAATAAAAAGAAGTATGATCCAGAACTCATAATAACAAAAAATTCTGACTCTGCCAATATTAATGTTAATATTCAATCTATGAATATGTCAGTTCTCCTAAATTTTAATTTGAATATTAATCTCAAAACATACTAACTATGATAAGTTAATACTCTTGTATAATCAACTTAACTATCATAGTATGTTTTTACTTAAATGGAAATATTGATAAAGTCATCACACATATTTGACAGTTGCTATGAATCGACGTATGAAATTAAAGTTGATATTATAATTTTATAAAAGAAGAAAAAACGAACCAGTGCAAATACTCCTTGTGGTAAGGATTGCTCGGAGTTGGAGCATCAGGATCCACCATAACCTTTCACAAACAAGAGTGAAAAATAAATTTAAAATGGATTTTCTATTATCAAAAAGTAGGAAAATATTATTAAAAAATAATAATGGTATTATACCATCATGTAATTCAACATATAGCATGCTAATGGCTACGTATTTACCATGCAATTTAATATAATTACTTACAATTACTTTCTAAGTGATCTTATTATATAAATAATTTTTACATCATTAATAGACATAACTTAAATTTTTAAACATTGTTATCTATATATTCTTAATGCTGAGAATTTTCATCAAAATACTATTTGATTTTTAATACCATTATTATTTTTTAATAATATTCTTTATGACAGTATTTTCACTCATTAATTAATCACATCCTAGAAAACACATTTTTTCTCATCGACAACAATAACATATTTAGTGTAATTTCGTAAGTGAACAAGTCTGGGGAGGATATATGTAGCCTTACTCCACCTTTGTAAAGGTAGAGATGTTGTTTTCGATAAACCCTCAGATCAAGTTAAACATATCAAAATAAGTAAGAAAAGTAGGAGAAGGAGAGTATGAATAATAATAAATGAAACTAGATAAAGTTCGACTGCCTACTAATCTTCTACCCTACTTATCGATCTTTATATATCTTCCTATCTAGGTTCGTATCCTTGGTAAGTTGTAAGTGTGTCATGTCATATCTTATCACCTTTCTACAATATTTCTTCGACGGACCTCTACCTCTTCTCAGACTCCTTAACATAAGAAAAGAAGATTTTAAAAATGACACGAGTACAAAATGAAAACAATGATACTTGTGTATATAGTTTGTATATAATTGTATATAAATTGTGTATATATGGTATACCAGAGTGTAAAAAGTTTGAAGATCATCCCCTTCAATTTCAACACTAGGTTGGTTGATAACCATAGAAGGCCTCAAATCACAACCATTTCTAACCTCTCTATTGTTATAAACAACTCTTAGGTTAATAGACCTTGTGAATGGATCCAAAACATCACCTATCACTCTAGCAACTGTCAATGTATCTCTTTCTCTTTGCATGATGAATATATAATTGATGAATACTATATGCAATGAGTCAATGATATATATATCATGATGAGTTAGAATTAAAGGGTATTTATACAAGCTAGTTTTTGGTGTATATCCACTTGTATTGTGTTTTTGTGTGTGTCATTCCAAGTTTTTGGTATTCTTTTTGTTCTTTTTATCTCTTTTTGCTCCAACTTGATGATAGCTCTTTGCATATATGCAATTTAAAGCACACAAACAAGAATCTTATCAATTCCACAAGTTTGATTTTGAGGTGTCATGCATAGTGATTTTTTTAGCGACAATAAATATGCATATTACTAAAGAGTATTGCTAAAAAATTTACCGTCATTAATTAATTGTCGTTGGATTCAATATCGCTATAGGCTTTAAAGATATTTGCAAAATATGTTAGATTGTCTCTAAAAAAATATATATTTAGTGTCAGTATTTGATGAATAATCACTTTATTTAGTTGCATTTACTTCTACTAATTAGTTGGGTTTTTAAATTCATTTCTTTTAAAGAACTTGCCAAAATAGTATTGTAACTTTGGGAAACACTATCTTGATTGTTTATTACACAAAAACATGTTTTTATCTTTTAAATGAACTGATCTTTAATTTTATCTTATTCTAAACAATCGAACTAGTAAAGAATAAGTGTTTTAAAGGTGTGATATAAAACTTATGAGATATTATGATGCAAAAAATATATTTTTTTCTGCAAAAAAATATTTTTTACGCAAAAATATAGCGTTTTAAAGACGTGAAATAAAACTTATAAGATATTATGATGCAAAAAAATTATTTGACGTAAAATAAAAATAGCTCAAGACCATATAAAGAAACAAACACTTCATTGTCTCAATCAATATTGGAATAATATAAACGTCATTGGTGAAGTTATAATGGGTCAACTGAAATGGGGCCCAATATTTATTTTATATTTATTTTTAAGTAACGATTTTAAATTATTTTATAAAATATAAAATAAATATCTGATAAATATTATTAATTTGATAAATTTTAAGTGATGTTGATTAAAGATTTTAAAAATTTGTTCTAAAAAAAAAAATTAAAAAATAAAAAAAAAAAAAAAAAAAAAAAAAATAAAAAAAAAAAAAAATAAAAAAAAAATAAAAAAAAAAATATATATATATATATATATATTGTATGGTAGTAAATCATCTCATTCTTTTTCTCGCAAATCTAATGTGAAGAGACTCATTGGGATTATCATAATTAAAATATTTTTCTTCATCGACTTGACTTTATAATCAAAGTACTTACAATATTTACACAAATATTAATGGCATTCAACGTAATAAAATTATAACTAAAGATATGAATTTAAAATTAATGGACATAGTTAAAATGGTCCATAATTTCGAAAAAAAATTATACTGATAACATTAAAGTAGAATAATTTTTTTTTTACCAAAATGCCCTTGCCAAAGCAGCTATGTCGACGAAGACCTACATGCTTCAGCATCAACTCTCTCCTATATATTAAGAGAATATGCATATGTAAACACATAAAATTACCGTTGAATTCAATTTTTTTAAAAGTGTCCAAAATGTTGAATTCCATTATTCATATACAATTCTCTATATATGATGGTCTATATAATAAGATGAAAGAGCAAAATGAAAAAATAGGAATGGTTGACTTGCAAGAAATATTAACAATTTATTATTCTATAATAAAGACACTTATTCTAGAATATTATTTTATTACTTGTACATTTATCTTAAATTCTTTAATATCGAATATTGTAAATGAACATCGTCAATATTAGAGTGACCACAAAATTGATAGTCATTTTCCTCTTTATGTAAGGATAGCAAAGAGGATAAAAAAGAATACTCTACTTTTGTTCAATTATTTCCTTTCTAAATCATCCTATGATTTTTTTTTTCCAATTTAATTTATATATACGGACAATGTAAAAATGTATACATATGTTTTAACATATTCTAAAAGTTAGTTTATCTTACTTTTCAAGCTACTACTTATTATTTATGAACGATTATTTTCTTGTAATTATATTTTGATGACCTAATTATATAAAGAAAAAATATGTGTTACTATTGAAAGTTAGTCTCTCTTTTTTTCTAGTCACTAAATAATGGGTGAGATATATTTAGACAATGCACTACACCAGAAAAATATACTTAGAAGAATTGAAATATTCAAATGTTCGAACATAGTATAATTGGAAAGAGAAATTTTGGTCCCATTTTTTCTTTAGAACATTATTCGTTTGGTCAAAAAGTATTTATTATGCATTTGAATTTTTTTATTTTATTTGAAAATTAATGTTTTGTCATGAAAATTATAAATCCAACTTAAATTTGTTCTTCAAGTTTGAAAAATAATTTATAACTTATTTTTCAACTCATTTTTTATTTAAATTGTTTTAAAATATATTCAAGCAGGAATATTATTTCAAATATTCACTAAAAAAATATTATGAATCTATGGCCAGTTAAAAGGGCCTCTAAATTTGTTTTTAACTTGGAATAATAAATCTTGGTCCCACAAAGAATTTTATTGTCTCGTTAGGTTAACCTTGTTGATGAGGGTTCGATTCTTTATCGTGTAATTCTCTTCCTCATTTTTTCCCTTTCCAAAAAATATAAATAAACTTGGTCCCATATTTAATTTATTTTATATCTTCACCCCTCCCTTTGACGAATCCTATATTTATTGGATAAGGTTTTGATTCTTTACTTTGCTTGGATCGCGAATGAAACTCTTTGAAAGGAGGAAGTCACAAACGAATCCTCTGACGGCGATCCCTCCTTGGGAGCTTTCACCTTTTTTCTCTATGATGAATTCATAATTTTAGAGTTGAAGATAAAGTATGTTTATTATCTAAGCAATCCCCTCTTGTCATCTTCATCAAATATAATACACAAGTCAGCTAATTTTTTCCTCTCTTTTGGAAATTGATACCTCCTTCGTTATTTAATTGTCTTACCTTTTTTTCTAAATTTAATTCAAAAAAGTCATTTATTTATTTAGTAACTCTTTACGTTCAATACCTACATGATATATTTAAGATTAAAATATTCTACGAGCATTTTTGGTACACATATGATTTTAGTTAAGATTACAAGATTAGAGAATCTAACTCGTAGAATAAATTAAGGTAAACAAATTAAAATGGAGTGAATAGACATTTTCCCTATTTGAGGCAAGTAATTTTGTGGCTTTTCACATTCTGTGATGAGTCCAACCCAAATGAACAATTTTACTTTTAATTTTCTATCACATTTTTTTCTAATCTATCTAATGTTTCGATTGAAGTAATCGTTCCATTATTCGACAATAAATGTATTTTTCTAAAATGTTGGTAAATGCATGAACGTCTATCCTTTGATTCAAATTTAGGATAAAAAATGTGAGACTTTCGTTAAGAATATTCTATTGAAAAGTATGATAGAGATCGCAAACAGAATATTTTATATTTGACGCAACATTATATCTCAATTATGTTTGTACGTAGTAGACATACGTACAAGAAAAATTGAGGAAAAACTATCAAATTAGACAAACATTCCTACCATATTTACTAATTCTCTCTATAGTTTGAAATAATTACATATTGTTTCACTAATTAATAATTTCATACCAGATTTCAGGTCAAATACACTTAAATGCGTGTATCTTTTACCATATACACTAAAATAAGGAGAGATGAGAGAAGGAGTTGAGGGAGGTGAACGAGATAGTCTATGTATCCAGATAAATATGAATTACACTAGATATGTGTATTTGGGATACCAGATATAAGGAGAGAGGCTAACGAGAGAGTTAGATAACATGGATCCACTTGAATACAATGTATCTACAACAAACTACACCTAATTTTGACCCCATATATCCAAAGTCCAAAATTGAGTAAGATTCCTAATATTGCAAATTAGCATGAATCTAAATAATTAGCTCTTAAAGTACTAGATTTGTGTTGTTTACCCAAAATTTAAAGGGAAAATTACGTGTAAAAGAAAACATATATTAGTTAATTAGCTAACATAGTTATAGTTTGAATTAATTACGACTCGCAGCTTAATTTTAGTTGTCATTGCGTCGCATGTCCTCTTTTATACATATACAAATGCAAATTATACACATATCTATACAATGCTAGATATACAAATACAATTATCCTCTCTCCACTCTATGCCCTTTCTAGCTTGCCTCTCTCCTCTCTCTCCCAATCTCGATTGTCTCTCTTCTCCCTCTCCCAATCTTGCTTCCCGAATATACAAATACATATGTATATCAGTTATATATATACAATTATCTAACATATATACATATACAGTTCGTCTCTCTCCACTCTCTTCCCTCTCTCGCTCGCCTCTGTCCTCCATCTCCCAATCTCGCTTGCCAGATATACAAATATATATATGTATACCAGTTACATATATACAATTATTTTGACAGATATACATATACAATTCGCCTCTCTCGCTTGCTCTCTCCTCCCTCTCCCAATCTCGCTAGCCTCTCTCCTCCCTCTAACATGTAGCTATGAATCCTAATTAGCAAACTATAGCTATGGAGCATAATTAAGTTATTTTTAAGTAGTTATATGCGAAAATTCCCCAAATTTAAATACATGCATAAATTACATGTGGCATCCAGAATGGATATTTGTGCATTTTTCCTGACTAAATTTTAAAACAAGCCCAATCAAAGTGACAGACCAAAAGGTTGGCAATTTGGACCCAATGTTGATGACTTAGTTTGGAACACCATGGTGAAAACCCAAAGTGGTTAAAAGGCAAAGATCAATAGTCCATTTAGAAATGAAACAAGAGAAAATTTCATAAAGGGCTATAGTATAAGTCTATATTACGGCGGACAATGACATTATTGATATTTACATAACATCACGATATTTTTCTGTTTATTTTGTATATGAGTTTTCGCGTATGTGTATCTAAGATACAAATTTTTGGGAGGGCCTTTAATTATGTGTGTGAAGGCCCAAG